TGTAGGTGTGTTGGTATTTGTGCTTACCAGAATCTTTCAGCTAACTACAATATTGTGTAAGAGCAAACCTCTTGCAGTGATCTGATATATGCCGTCTGTGTCTCTCATCAGGACATCAACAGTCTGAACAAGCAGATAGCGCAGCTGCAAGACCTTGTACGATCCCGCAGTGGGCAAAATGGCCGCCACATCCAGACACATTCCAACACAATTGTTGTCTCCCTGCAGGTACAATCTTATATCTGATATTGCTGCAGTGCACAGATATTCCAGACTCTATAGGAAGTATTATCTCAAATATCCCTAGCTGTAGACAGTAGGGGTGGTTGATCTCATTTTGATTGACAGGAGATGACTTGACTACCACACCTTTCATTTTCCTGCTGCGGAACAGTCTTATCTGTAAATGTTTGTGTTGCAGTCCAAGCTGGCATCAATGTCAAACGATTTCAAGTCAGTCCTGGAAGTGAGAACAGAGGTAAGGTTTTTTTTTTTGTTTTGTTTTTTTTTAAATGGTCAGTGCCGCACTTTTATAACATCATCAATTTCATTCCAAGCAGTTGTTAGGCTTTTAAATATTTGATCAGATCTTTGGCAAAGCAAAAACACACAATGTTTACTGTTCACCACGGTCCTATGAAACCACCTGCTCTTTCTTTTGATTTTCATGTCAGTTTTCTTTTGTTTAAATAACTTGTGTTTTAAAAGAAGACGACATTTAGTTGAGTTGTAATGAGTGAATGTTATTTTATTGTTTTAACTGAGGCATGTCTTTGCTGTTGTGTGTTTAGAATCTGAAGCAGCAGCGCAGCAGAAGAGAGCATTTCTCCCAGGCCCCTGTCTCGGCCTCTCCTCTGCTCGCCAATAACTTCAGTATGTCACATCTTTAGTACTGCTATTTTCATTTTATTTTCATTTTGTGGTTCACACATCTGAACATTTATCCCTTTAGGTTCCAGCTTTTGCTTTTTAATTTCAGTTCGTTCTTAGTAATGAGTCAAGCTATTATGCTTTATTGCTAGTTAATATTATAGAATAAATAGTGTTTGGCTGTGCCAATACAATCATTCACTACGAGTGCCATCAGCAGAAAACCTTTAGACACATTTACATTTAAAAATGAAAGTTCTGTCATTAATTACTCACCCTTATGTCGTTCCAAACCTGTAAGACCTTCATTCATCTTCAGAAAACAAATTAAGATACTTTTGATGAAATCAGAGAGCTTTCTGACCCTCCATAGACAGCAAGGGTACTACCACGTTCAAGGCCCAGAAAGGTACCAAGAACATAGACAAAATAGTCCATGTGACATCAGTGGTTCAACTGTAATTTTATGAAGCAACAAGAATACCTTTAATACCCTTGCTGTCTATGGAGGGTCAAAAAGCGCTCGGATTTTGTCAAAAATATCTTAATTTGTGTTCCGAAGATGAACGAAGGTCTTACATGTTTGGAACGACATTAGGGTGAGTAATTAATGACAATTTTCTTTTTTGGGTGAACTATCCCTTTAACGACCAGGCTGCACCTTAATTGAACTTATTTGTTGTATTTATTATCATTATTATTATAATACTTTATTTAAATATTATTGATATTATTTTTATAATATATACATTATAAACTGCATTTTATATAAATACTTTTAGAAAATGTATATCTATTTCTGTTCTATTCTATTTCTTTTATAATTTATTTCATTTTTTATATGAAAAACAGAATTTTTCACCTTGTGGTTTTTGTATGCACACATGGCGTCTTTATTCTGTATTTAATAGTTTTCAATTTCTTGGCTGTCGCAGACAGCTCAGTTCTGATGCAGGATGAGTCCAGGAGTCTGGGAGGAGAGGTGGCCATCGACATGGACTCTAGAGCAAACCCTCTGCAGCTGCAGCTCATCGATGAACAGGTATCAGTCTCACAGGAAATTAAGAATGGATTGCAGTCTAAGGCTGCTGCTTGTATCTGAAGGTTTGAGAGTATGATAAATGTTGAATGTTTGATTTCAACATCAAATGTCCGTTTGTTATGTTTTTGTAGGACTCGTATATCCAGAGCCGAGCAGATACCATGCAGAACATCGAGAGCACTATTGTGGAGTTGGGTTCCATCTTTCAGCAGTTGGCGCACATGGTCAAAGAGCAGGAAGAGACGATTCAGAGGTCAGACAAACACATACACACCACAGGATTAACATACTCCAAAACCACAGACTCAACAGTGCAGTACATGCTTCAGAGACATGCTGTACAAACCACACACAAACACTTACAGTAGCAGTAGTATTTTTTTTAAGTCAGCATAAATGCCAGTGTGAGAGTTTCACTTGCATTTGTGACTAAAAGTTGATGTGTGCAAATATTCGTTGTCTGTTTCTGTTGAACACCAGGATTGATGCCAGTGTGGAGGACACCCAGCTGAATGTGGAAATGGCCCACACTGAGATACTGAAGTACTTCCAGTCCGTCTCCTCCAATCGCTGGCTCATGATCAAGATATTCCTCGTTCTCATCATCTTCTTCATCATCTTTGTGGTCTTCCTTGCCTGAGAAGGAACGATCCTGAGTGTAAGGTGGGATGAAAACGGAGCCAAAGGGTTTGAAGGAGGGAGGAACAGGCTATGGACTTATGGGCGAATGTGCAAAAACATAAGTGGACTGTGCCGCAGGGGACTCTGGCTCCCGGGGGAGGGTGTGGGGGGGTTCTGATGCTCAGTGGTGGGATGATTTTAGTCAGAGTAACTTGATGTTAATTCTGTCACTGTCGACTTTCACTCTCTTACACTAGAGGGAGATGGAGGATGATGGTGATGCTGATGAAGGTGGAACTGAGATTTACTGTGTATTTAAAGAGGAGGTGTTCTGATTCACTCTGTTCTGTTTAAGCTTCTTCTACATCTGCATTAATATTTGAGCCTTCGTTTCTTATTAATAATCACATATTAAAAGAGAAGGCTTTTCCCCAAGTGGTTTGATTCTCCAAACTGGTTTAGTTGGTTTTTCTCAGTGTTATCCGTAATCAGCGATAATTATTTTTTTTTACAGTAAATAAAATGTGACCTGATTCTCCTCATAAAATATGCAATAAATACACAATAAAATGGGCAATTATTTGCCACTTATGGGTGAATCTCACAAAGAAATATCAGTCATATTTTACCCCAAAAAATTGATAGGAAAAATTATTTATAATTAATTGTATTTTTATAATTAATTATATTTGAGTACAAAAGTGATGTGTTTTTAGGACCATTATGACTTTTTCATGAAAACCAAGTTCTCATATGTAATGTGAAAAAAATGCTGTATAATATTGATGATTATTAGGCTATATCTAGCATGATTTTTTAAATTATTAATAATAGTATAAATTAAATTCAGTACAACAAATGCTACTGTGTTATATACTTACCAATGTACTAATAATAAATGTACAAATAAATTTATAAATTGAATATTTTTCTTTCACATTATATTCATGGGAATTTGGGGGGAAATGTGCTTAGTTGTCATTAAAATAATGTAAATATATATATATATATATATATATATATACGATCTATCTATATATATATATACGATCTATCTATCTATATATATATATATATATATATATACATAAAATAAAAATATCTTAATGGTCCTAAAAAAAATAGACATTTTCTTTTGTGGGTGGGGAAATATAAGTCTGACATTCTCTGACCATTTTAATGAGATTCTCCTTTCTAGTGTTAAGGTCTTCTGATTGCAGCCCCTGTAAATATGGGGTCTGTAATATTATATACTGTTTAGAGACTTTCAGTTTCTTTTTTTCTTCTTCTTTTTTTGAGTTTGATTCTGACAAATACACAAGGAGGAGTTATAGGAAGTTGCCTGGTCTTATGATTTTGCTTCGTGCAGGAATAAACAAGGTGCGAATGAAGACCAGTGTTTTATACAGTACTATAGAATTTAAAAGATCACAGTGCGGTTTAAAGGGCCCAAAGAGACTCCAGACGGATCTAAAGCTATAAACTGCTCATTCATTACATCAGGACGTGTTTCGTTCCAGGCTAGTGCAGAGGATGTCTGAACGTCTGGTGATGAAACCGATCAGTACTCTGAGAACTGAATGCTGGGTGCGTTTCCTTCATTTGTGAGGAGCAACTTTGGCCTGATGAACATATTGGCCACCTGCGCAAAGAACTGAAGATCAGCTCCTTCATGCTGTGATGCTGTGAATAATGAAACAGGAGAGGGAGCTGGCAGAGATGATGTCTTCTTCACTTAGAAGCAGCATTTTCGAGGTCAAACTCTCTAATTTGGTAAATCACAGACTTTCTCTCTCCCACACATGCCACACTATCTCAAATCAAACTCCTGAACGATGTACAGTGTATTATTTAATGAGCACTTTTTATGAAGACTCCTGTTTCCAGGCTTTTTTTAGCTGAATGGTCTGCATCTCTTGTATAAACTGAACACTGTTGTTATGTAAGGACAAACAGTACATATTAAAATACATCTGAGAAACTGATTATGGCTAATGTTGCTTTTGTCGCTGCGGCTGTAGAATTTTTGTAGAGTGAATCTCACAAAACATGGAATATGTCGCACCAAAATGAAAAGAAAGCTGACATTGTTTTAATAATTCAGCAGCACATTTCACATTTTGAGGGTTTTATTATTATTTTGTTAATTTTTTTTATTCATTACTTTAAAATAGTGTACAATTTACAGATTAAAAATTATTATTTAAACTTTATTTTTTCTTATTTTGTTCCCTTGTGAGCTTCACTATCACAGAAAAATGTAGCTGTGAAAATGCACACATTTATGCCAAATATTTATATTTACATCCAAATATTCAAAATATTTAAGCACACGTTAGAAAGTAAAAAAAAAAAAAAAGACTAGGCCAGTGTTCTTTGGTTCGATTAACAAATGAACAGTGTCTTGCAAACTGAAAGCATAAGCTTTAGTCTTTCAAGATGTCTCCTAGAATCTGATTTTCTTCCCTTCTCTTGTTCTTTGCCGCCGCCTCTTTTCTTCCTCCTCCATTGCCAACTTGCCTCGAAGGCTACATTTCCTTCAAGCTTTTCGAATCCTTCTTTCCTCCGTCTTTCTCTTCATCTCTACCTCTTGTTCAGCTCTGAGGACTTGTGCACTGCTCAAGAGGAGTGATCTCTGGCATGCTGAGGCTCCGTCCCTTCCTGGTGCGCATGGCGGTTGTCACCTGTTCGGCTGCTTCCTCGTCTTCATCAGACCACGTGTTTTCCTCTTGCAGGTAGTTGCGGGAACCACCGAAGCTTCCCTTCCCGCGGTTCAGGGTGCGGAACTTGGATCGAAACGTGACGAAGGGGAGGCTCTTACTGCGCTGTTTTTCCCAACGGTTCACCCGATTCTCGAGCTCTGCGTCTCCCTGAAGCTCATCCAGGCAGTTTCTTAGGACGCCCCGGAACAGTTTGGGGATGTCGTGCACCTCCGCCTCAAACTCTGACACTAGCTTCCTGAACCTTTCAAACAAACATCAAAATCTTAGAGATATTACATGATTCACCTCTGTCACTATAACTCTTATTGGGTAATACCTACCAGGGTTAAGTAAAACTAAAAGCAGCATAAAACATTTTTGTTACTTGAAATAAAATAAATCTTGATGGAAATAAAATAAAATATTAAGAAAAAAAGGAAACTTTCAGCTAGTTGCCAAGGAAACACTTCTCATTTTTGTTTAGTTTAACGGTAACCTGATGTATTAAAATAACTAAAACTAAAACTATGAAATAATACAGATGACAAAAACAAACAAAAAAAACGACTAAAAGTAACAAAAATTAAAAAGGAAAATATAAAAATAACTCATTGTACATTTACATTGTATAAAATAATCACAGTAAGTAAAAAAGATTATTGGAGTGAATATTTACAAGAAAATTCTGCTTAGTCTTTCTACTTTAAAATGTAATGTTTAATTCAGTGTGTTACCTGCCATTTCTTTGTAATTGTAAAATAAGCTATTTCTGTTTACTACTAATTCTAATATTCTAATAGTATATAGGCTATGTGTATATATATATTCATGATACTAAAATAAACTAACTGAAATAAGTTAGTTAAAACATTTTATTCCACATGTACACACAAATACACATAAAAATAGATTAAAACATTAAATACATTAACTTAAATAAAACATTACTAAATCTTGTTTTATTTAAGCTTAAGCTAGTTGCCAAGGAACCATTTCTTATTTTCATTTAGTTTTACTTGGGGTACTGAAAAACCTAAAACTTAATAAAAACTATATATATATACAGTATATACAGAAAAATCACAAAAACAGACTACAAAAAATTACTAAAATTAACAAAACTTAAAATGAAAATGGAAATGATAAAAACCTAATTCAAACTATTAATAAAAATTATAATATTATCTCAATGATACTAAAAAACACTGATACCCACCTGACAATGACCGGGCCGCACTGTTGAGGTGGGATCTGTGCACAGAGGTCCTGCAGTTCCAGCACGTCTCCTGGCGTGAGCTCGTAGGGGACGTGTGGCTGAGGGCCGGCCAGCCAGCTGTAGTCTGCAGAGGAAGAGTTGCGGCGTCTGCGAGTCTCTGCTGCCTTCTCCAGCCGGATTCGCTCGGTCCGTTTCACCATGGCACCCAGCTCCAGCATCAAAGTGTTGGTCACCAGCTCCTCTGGAGTGCGCTGGCCGGGAACCTTCGGCTCCAGGGAAAACACTACTGACCAGGGAAACATCTGTGAGAGCAACAACCATTGAAATTTGAGTCATAACCTTCAGATTTTAACATTGAGTACTGTTTGCAAGTGATTGCCAGATCAGCAGATTTAATTTTGACAGAGACTTTTTTTGTTGTTGTTAAACATTTAGAAATGACATCAAACTGTATTTGGTGCACCGATACCAAGTCAACCTGATTATCTATCTATCTGTCCGTCCGTCCGTCTGTCTGTCTGTACTTCTGTCTGTCTGTCCATCCGTCTGTCTGTCTGTACGTCTGTCTGTCTGTCTGTCATTCTGTCCTTCTGTCCTTCTGTCCGTCCATCTGTCTGTCTGTACTTCTGTCTGTCTGTCTGTCCGTCCATCTGTCTGTCTGTCTGTCCTTCTGTCCGTCCGTCTATCTTTCTGTCTGTCTGTCATTCTGTCCTTCTGTCCGTCCGTCTATCTTTCTGTCTGTCTGTCATTCTGTCCTTCTGTCCGTCCGTCTTTCCTTCTGTCCGTCTGTCTGTCTTTCCTTCTGTCTGTCTGTCTGTACTTCTGTCTGTTTGTCCTTCTGTCCGTCCGTCTGTCTGTCTGTCCTTCTGTCTGTCTGTCTGTCTGTCTGTACTTCTGTCTGTCTGTCCTTCTGTCCATCTGTCTGTACTTCTGTCTGTCTGTCTGTCTTCTCATCTATATATCTGTTGTCTGTCTTTCTGTCTATCTATATATATGTATATATACATACATGTACTAATTTTAAACATGTCATTTCTAATATGATAATATTAATGATAATGTAATATTTAATTATTCTAAATTATTATATTTATTATAATATCAATTTAACTATTATTATTTCTATTATTGTTGTTAGATTAATAATTCTAATAATTTCTTGTATATGTTTTTATTATAATTATTATTTGGAAAACTTTTTGGAAAATTTTTACCTTTTTGATACCTCAGATTATTCATGTTTTATATAGACATATTTAGTATATGTCTGACTGTTTGTTCCACATTTAAAGGCCTGTTTCAGTGCTAAATAGTATTGTATATAATACTAATATACAGTTTGCATCCCGTATAGTAATGTACTATAAAGCAAATACAGCTCTATTCTATTTACACCCTTGTACTCATGTGTGGATAATTATCAAAATTGTTAATTTCGTATAGTCAACTGGATAATTATTAATTGCAAATTAACTCAGGGTGCAAATATCTGCATTGTGTTACTGGTATTATTTGGAATTATAAAGACGTATGGATGTTCAACTAAAGTTGAGTACAGGAGCAGGACACAAAGCAACAAAAATATGTGAACAAATGTAATTAGCCACACTCTTGATATTATAGCAGCTGAATTTTATTTTGCAAATGCAAAATTTTATATATATGTATATACTGAAGTTGCAAAAAAGGATATTACCTTTCAAATAATGTGAGTTTTATTCCTGTTTTAATGTGAAATATCTTCAAATTGGACCCGAAGATGTAAATGTAGAGCCAAAATATTAAAATCCAGGGTTTGGTTTCCAATCTAAGCACTCCAGAGGAGACAGCTCTCCTTTGCGTTGTTTTAGACACTGTAAATGTGTGTATGTAATCCTATATAAATATGCAAGCTGGTATTTAGCCATCTGATTAGCTCAATGAACACACACCTTGCATACCTTGTGATCTCCTGCTCATCCACCGGAGCTGATTGCACAATATCTCCTCGTGCGCAACATGTGTGCACTGAATTATTGCACTACATTTTTTTTTATATAAATTAATGCACTGAAATTGTATTTATTACATCATGTTCATTTTAGACTATTAAGGAATTTCTAATTAAATAATTTGTGGCACTTTTGAAGAGTAACAATGCAACTTTTATTGAACTTAAATTTCAATCATTTATGACCATTAGACATATTAAAGAAATAGTTCACCCAAAATAAACATTTACTGAAAATTCACTCACACTCAGGCCATCCAAGATGTAAATGAGTTTGTTTCTTCATCTGAACAGATTTGGAGAAATTCAGCATTACGTCACAGTGAATGGGTGCCGTCAGAATGAGAGTCCAAACAGCTGAAAAAAACATCACAATAATCCACAAGTAATCCACACGACTCCAGTCCATCAGTTAACACCTTGTGAAGCGAAAAGCTGTGTGTTTGTCATAAACAAATCCATCATTAAGATGTTTTAACTTTAAACTGACACTTCTGGCCAAAATAACAGTCCATAATCCATGATAAGGCTTCCTCCAGTGAAAAAGTCCATCTCCTGTTCTCTCAATCAAAATTTACCATCATATTTTTTAGAACTGTTTTGGGCAGTTTTCGTTGTAAGCAGTGCTTGATGGATTATTGTGATGTTTTTATCAGATGTTTGGACTCTCATTCTGACGGCACCCATTCACTGCACAGGATCCATTGGTGAGCAAGTAATGTAACTCTAAATTTCTATGAATCCGTTCTGATGAAGAAACAAACTCAAATTTACATCTTGGATGGCCTTAAGGTGAGTAGATTTTCAGCAAATGTTCATTTTTGTCTTAACTATTCCTTTAAGTTCTGCTAGACACCAACAGGTGGTAACATCATTACTCAGAGCTGCTTAAGGAGTTGCGTAACCCACACACACGTTGTCTTAATCATTATGTATCTGTACCCAACTGTCTGTGTCTGATCAGCCCGAAAGAGGGAGGGAGAACAGAACTGTAGGTGCTGTGATGGTTTCCGCTCTATTCAGCACTTCAGAGGTTTAATCTGCATATGTGTGATCATGGATTACAATGCACTCCTACACGCTTCTCAGAAACAAGGGCCGTGGCGATGGACATAATCTGATTACGTGCTGTTTATGCTGGTGTAGACCAGTGAGAGTGACCAGTATGTTACATAATGCATGACTGATGCACTAGTAGGTGCATCTTGTTTCTCTAATTAATTTATGCAGGGTTTTTTTTCTTCTTATGTTTGTTTTAACCTTCATAATTTTGACTCAAAAGCATTGATTTAATATTTATCTTTTTTTTTTATATATATTTGCCCACTATAATTTGTGGGATGCCTATTATGGAAAATACTTCAACTAAATTAATTAACTAAAATCCATTCTAATCTTAACAATAATGGCAGGTAATTGTATGAAATTACAATTAAATACAATACTAGAGTAGCCATAAATATCCATAAGAAATCATATCATGGTAAATCATAAACGGTACATTTTTATGTTTTTGACGAAATATCTGTGAAATATCTGTAGATCTCTGTGTTTACAGAGAAAAACCCATATTAAATTTCCCACTCCTTATAGGCCTAACCCAGCTAACAAAAATATATTCTGGGAACGTTTTCTAACTTTCTCATTAAGTTATGAAAATTTTATTTCTGAATGTTCTGTGAACGTCCAAAACATCCACCTTTTTAAATGTTTAAAATGTTTTTTTTTTTCTCTCTCTCTCTCTCTCGTTTATGTGAATGTTAGAGACAACATTAAGGGAATGTTCCATTTTATAATCGCAAACATTATGGGAATATTAGTTGTGAATGTTCTCTGATCCATCTGAAACTAATATATAATAGCCTTTTTTTCTTTTTTTTAACGTTAGACGAAGTTAGAAGGTCCAGTTTGTTTTAGAAAAACATTCCATAAACAACTTAAAAAAAAATTAGAACGTTAACTTAAGAACGTTAATAAAGACCAGATAACTTGGACTGAACGTTGTATTAACGTTATTGGAGGAATGTTTGGTCATATCTTTTGAGAGCCTCGCCAGGACGTTAGCCACAGTTCTGAGAACGTCCCTGTTAGCTGGAACCAGCTAATTTCTAACCTAATTTTTGAAAAACATTTCTAGGATCTATTTTTCTTTTCAGATCTGGAAATCCTTCTTTGAAAATAATGTCAATGTAAAATAATGTGATATAAAACAGTCTGAAATAAAGTGTTTAATGATTTTGTTTACTCAAGTAATTTTTTAATATTATAAATTATATACTTTTAATATAAAATATTTGTATTATTTTATTTGTTGTATATATTAAATCAGCGAAATTCAGTATTATATATAAAAAAAGCTTTTAAAAGGTTCTTGTCACTGACCTGCGGTTGCCGCTGCACTTCAAGGCCCCGCCTCTTTACGAACGTCACTGACCCCACACACGCCTCTCGTCAAATCAAGCTCGGCGGTTCCGAGGGGCACGAGATAGCGACCGCGTGCGCTCAGTTTTGACTTTTAAAAATAACGACAACCTGTGAACGTTAAACGACCAGACGCCTCACATGTAACAGATATACATATCGGATCTACTTTATTAACAGCCACGTAAACGGGGTTCAAGACGTCAGGATCGCTGTGTTTTAAAACGATCAACATATCAGAAGTCCCGGTAAGTGATGCCACATTGTTTGATTTAGCTGTAGCATTTCGTTTTATCAGACAGTATTTTGCTCTGCGTTTGTCTTTCTCAATAAATAAACTATTTTTATTGCACTGCTGAAAGTCTTCAGGTTCTAGTTCGCTCAAAACCGGCCAGCAAATTGACCAATGCTACTATGGCGAAGGTTTAGCTCATGAATATTAAGTATAGTCTTTTTCGCAGCCTTCATCCTCGAAGCTTAATTGATATTCATGAGCCAGGACTTCGCCATAGTAGGATTCATAAATTCGCTGAGGTTTATTTTTCGTAAATATACAGTGGATGCTGTAAACGTAAGGCAAGACTGTGGTTGAACGTGTATAATCGTCTCGGTAGCAAACACGGTTATTAACCCAGCCTGGCGTCAGCTGTATTTGAAAGCATCATCTTTGATGCTTTGTAATGGAAATGAAGGTGCATGGAGAGATCTGACCAGGATGTTCACAGATTCATGGGCCGGATTTTCCTCATTCCTCTCTTTTGGCAATCCAGTTCTCACTGTCAGTGACTGAGAAGAGAAATTAAACACAAGAGATTGAGGGTTAATGTAAATAGACATTTTCACTATGTGTGTGTGTGTGTGTGTCTGTGGGACTGTCCAAACCTTTGCTTTAGTGAAATTATGTGAGTTCCCTTCAAAGAATAGTTCACCCAAAAATGAAAATGTCTTCATTTACCTCATTTGTTGAACAAACATAGACTAAACGTATGTATGTAGGTTGTGTGTGTGTGTTTGTTTATATGAAATATATCCAGTTATAATGAAAGTGAATAAGAAGAACACGTCAAGCTGTAAAATTACCTAAATAAATAAAATCACCAAGTATGGTAAAATTGGTGCATAATCCACATCTTCTTACACCTTATGAATCTACTGTTCACAAAACAAACCGAAATAACTCATTATGCACAAAAAAAAATCTTGACGTCTGCCTTAACTACTCAACTTCGCGTGTTCATTCTGTGCATGAATTGTTCTTTTGAGTCCAATAATTTAATTGAATTTATTACACAAAAGGCGGTCTGAATGATTAATTCATCAATCGGACTAATCTGGTTTTTGAGTTTAACTGACAGTCCCTGTCCTTTGTAATTCCATGGATAAAAACAACCAGTACAATTGTCAGTATTTCTTTTGTGTTACAAAGAAAATAACATGCCATACAGGTTTGGATGAGTAAACAATCACAGAATCTTCTGTTTTCAGTTGAACTTGAGGTGTTTTGGCAGCAAAAGTCCCTTAAGAGTGTTTCCATGAACACTCTGACAAACACACACACCCTCACCGCCGCTGTGATTTTTCCTTTATATAAAAATGCGGACACAATGATTAATTTTCCTTTTTGTCATTAGTGAATGTTAAAAGTATGTGAACTGATATTTCTGGTCTGAAACAAGTACAGACAGCTGAGAGTGTCTCCCCGGAGGCAGCACACCAGATCCTCGTGAACAACATTTTAAGATCTTTCTATATCTCTTCTGTCTCAGCACTGGAAGATGAGCAGCCGAGCTTTCTGAAGCATCAGTCTGTAAGCACCTGCGGCGATGAGCTGGGCCGGAGACGACTGGACCGTGGGTCTGACGGGTCACGTACTACAGAAGGTTCAGCAGCTTCAGGCTCAGAATGAGAAACTGAACAAGGAAAAGCAGCAGAGGCAACTGCAGCTGGGCAACTCGGAAGCAGCTCTGCACAAACAGAAGCAGAAGGTGAGTTATGGCGGTTTAATTGAGCGATATGTACATGAGCATTTTAACCTTGTAAAGTCTGACATAAAAATAATCTGAAAAACTTTTTTTTTTTTAATGGCTCAGTTTATTGAACCTTTTTTTGCGCAAGTTATTTGATACATCGGGCCTTCATAATTTATATAATATATATACTGAGAATATGGAGCTTGAAAAATAAAAAAACAAATTTTGCCCAAACTGAGCAAAAATATGCAATTCAGTTCAGTTGCTGGTATTTATATGGCCAGAAAGTAAGATGAAATTCAATGATATATTTATAACAGTAATTCTGTATCTCCCAAAAAAAATTATTAGTGAGAAGAGATGCTATTTAAATTCTTAGTTGCATGATTAAAGTTCTGTAGTTTTTTTAGTTTAACTCTTTTTATTGATGCTGTTCAGTGAGATACAAAAATTCAAAAGAAAATAGAACAGTAGTTTAACA